CCCCCCCCCCCCCCCTTCCCTGTATTTTAGCAATGATTTTGAAGTGGCCAGATTCAAAATTCCATTAGTTCTTCACTTCAGGCTGTATAATATGGTCTGATATAGGTTATTATTGGTTTAGAAAAGTCTACATTTTACCTCAAGTAACTAATTGGGAGAGTGTCAAATTCCTCCTGTGATGTGATGGACTAATGAAATGCCTTGCATGGTAATTAATAAAAACCCCAGAGCTAGGTGCTGCAGTGGCGGACTGAAGGCAGGCCAGTGGTGCAAGGATGACTGATTATCCCTTACTAGCTGTGGAGAGGGCTTCACACTTGCCTTGTACAGTATAAAAGACTGGGATGGAGCAAGAAGAGGAGCCACAAGTTTTTCAGCTGCATGGATTTAGTAATTCTGCATTCTCCACAACTGCTATGAAGGAGCTATGGCCTTTAGTCCTATTGCTCGTAAAGTGAAATGACAGCTTGTGGGAAGCAGTGTGTCAGCCTCCAGTCTTGGCTCAGGTTGTGTGGTTGATTTCCTTTCCTTCCTCTCCTTTGGCTCTACATATAGCATGGTGACAGAGCATGTGTGACGTAGTGGGGGTACTTGCTGGGCTGTGGTGACCCCTGCTGTCTGGAGCAAGACCCAGCAGGGAAAACCTCACTATGCAAAGGTAGTGCCAAACTTGTTGAACCAGTGGCCAGACACCCCCCATGGAGAGGAACAAAGGAAGGTGGAATGCTGCCCTGACTGGGGGGCAGGGCTGGAAGGGAATTTAGTTAGTTACTGTCTGAGAGCATGGAGGAGAGCCTAGGGGAAGGGGCTGGAGTTTAGGGGCCCAGTCTCCCCCATCTCAAGGGGGGCTGAGGCATCCTAGCCCAGCTCTGTGACCAGATTCCATCTGTGCTGTGCTGTATCCTGGAGAGGCAATAAACTTCCTCTATTCCACCGGCTGGTGCAGTCTGTTTGTGCCATTTAGGGGTGCAGGAGACGGGGGACCCCCAACGCCCGTCACACTGGGAGATGGACCATACAGCCTAGAATGTATTTTCTGAGAAGCATCATGGTCTAGAAAGCAGAGAACATAGGAACGGCCACATTGGGTCAGACCAAAGGTCCATCCAGCCCAGTATCCTGTCTGCCGATAGTGGCCAATGCCAGGTGTCCCAGAGGGAGTGAACAGAAACAGGGAATCATCAAGTGATCCCTCTTGTCCCCCTTCCCAGCTTCAGGCCAACAGAGGCTGGGGACTGGTAGTCAAGAAACCTGAGACACATACCTAGCTCTACCATCACCCAGTGAGTGACCCAGACTGCAGAGAACAGGGCAGGGGTGGACTCCCGCTGGGTTTATTCATTTAACCTTGAAACTTGAATGTAAGACTTGCCACGCCATGGCAGGTTATCCCAATCTGCCTACAGCTGCGTTCTTTCCTTTTCTTTTGAAGTGTCTGGTTCTGGCTTCTCTTGAAAGCAATATGCTGGACTAGATGGCAGCTGGCTCCAAACCCTGACAGCAGTTCCTAAATTCTAGATCCCTATCTAGAGCGGAACACTGGAAGATGCATTTGTTTGTAATGAAGACAATAAATACTTATTCTGGAGGAACAAAGAGATGGAAAACTCCTATTCATAACACAGCATACACAACAGGTGCTGAAGAACGGCCGATGGAGAAATAGCTATAAAAATTCTTCATTCAAAATACAGTGGTAATGTTGCCATGAGTACAAAGGCATTTGGGGTTTAGTCAACTGCTCACCTGTCCAGTGTTCGTGATTCAGGGAAATGAAATGTTTTTTTCTGTGCTGTATTGTCCTCCAGGAGCTTTGGTTGGTAGGACACATTTACCACACAGTTCAGAGTTCCACTCTATTTTTATTTTTGCTTTTCTGTTGTTGCCCTTGCATTTGCTCCTTCAAGTCTCCCAAGCTTTTAGAAACATTGCAAAAAGTATATGCTACATTTTCTCTCCATGACAGCTGCCCTCATCTTTGGGCATTCTACCATGTGACAGGGACAAAGTTTGTGTGTTTATGCACAAACACACACAAAAACTTATTTCACACTCTCAGGGTACATCTACACAACAACATTATTTCGAAAATAGTCCACGTCTACACAGCAGGCAGGTATTTCAAAATAATGTCAAAATACTGTCAAGCTAGAGGACTTCTTACTCTGGCTCCTGTAACCCTCAGGCTACATCTACACTGCGGGCTTCATGCACAAGAACTGTTTTGCACAAGAGTTCTTGCACAAAAGGTCTTGTGCAAGAGCGTGTCTACACTGGCATGTGCTTTTGCGCAAGAGCGTCCATGGCAGTGTGGACGCTCTCATGCGCGAGACAGCTCTGATGGCCATTTTAGCCATTTGAGCTCTTGCACAAGAGGGCTTATTCCTCGTAGGGAGAGGAATAACTCTTGTGCAAAGAAGCCCTCTCTTCTGACGCTTTACTTTAATTTACTTGCACAAGAATGCATATGCAGTATAGATGCTCCTCAAGTTTTCCGACTGTTCTTGTGCAAAAAGCCTGCCGTGTAGACATAGCTTCATTGTACGAGGAGTAAGGGAAGTCAGAGGAAGAGTGCTCTATTTCGAAATAAGTGCTGTGTAGACGCTTTCAGTTTCGAAATAAGCTATTTCAAAGTAAGCTACACAATTGATGTAGCTCAATTTGCGTAGCTTATTTTGAGTTAAGCCCTGCTGTGTAGATGCACCCTAAAGGTGCAATTTTTGCATGTTTTCCAGCAAATAGAGTGCAGAGCCATGTCTGATGGAACACAGTACAGAGCATGCAGGAGGTTAAGCTTATCAGTTGTGCACCGCTCTGCCCTTTAAAGCAGGTTCACCGTTCCTCAGCAGACATTTGTCAGCATCAACATTGGCAACGACTTCTCAGCACAAGAACCAAAGACTGAAAGAGCAGAAATGCTGCAGATCAGAACGAAGTCACTGGCAGACCCGACTCTGGGAGTTTGGACAACAACTGCCAGCAGTGCGCAAAGCTCTAGCCAGGGTCATCAGTCACTGACTTTTATGAGCAATAAAACTGACTTCAGTATAAAAAGAAAATAGCGAGACAAAGAGAATATAGAAGCAGAACTGATGTGCTGAATATTAACAAGTGACTAGAGAGGAGCTATGAGATTACACACATCCTTTCCCCTTATGCTAAGAATTATTTGCATTCTCCTCCTTCATAAAGGGCACAATCGAGCTAAAATCTTCATCTTACGAGAGTATTTTGTTTCCAGTGTCTTCTTGGCTTAAAACCAACCAACAAACAAAAACCCCATCCTGCAGCACACTGGCAGAACGATATAAGAAGCTACAAGCACTCTTAAGAAACCTCCTCCAAATGGAAACAGACATCAGAGACAAGCAAATGCTAGAGATGTAATACCGAGAATGCTGCCTTCACACACAAACTGTGGAATTATGTAAACTTGGCAACATGTAAAGCAAAGAGCGAATGCGTTGCTGGAACAAGAGGAAAATTTCCCATTACATCTGTATAAGCTGGATTCTCCCGGGTCTGACTCATGAAGATGATTTTCCTTCTCCTCACAAACTAATTTCTGCCTGTTATCGTTTTCTTGTGCAAGGCAGTATTGTGGTAGTGTTAATCGCAGGATATTAGAGGGATAAGTTGGGTGAGGAATTATCTTTATTGAACTCACTTCTGTTGGTGAGAGAGACAAGCTTCTGGGCTTACACAGAGCTCTTCAGGTCTGGAAACTCACCTTTGTTTTACAGCTCAGTGTAAACATAAAACTTGTCTCTCTCACCAACGGAAGTTGGTCCAATAAAAGATATTACCTCACCTACCTTGTCGTTCTTGTGCAGGGTAGGTCAGAAGAGCCAATACAGGACCTGAACAGATTTCAGAAGTTTCCGATGCTCTGCAATCTCTATCTGGTTATATTGGCATAAAAACAGACCATCCAATTCCACTTCAGTTCCTTTGGGTATTTCCTTACAGGAGCAAGTTATTACACACTCAATTAGTCCCTCTAACCATTCAGAATCACACAAGCTTTGCTAATCATCTTTTCACAGATGGAAAGAAAAACAGCACTTTTTCATAATCAGCTTTATGGAAAAGACAACCAACATTGAAAGATATTAAGCAATAATACTGAAGTAACCTAAAGAGTATGAGAATGCTCATTAACTGGGTACCCCTTATGCTGATATGAAAATTTCTTCCGTGCACGTTAACAATGTATCGCTACCTTCCTGGAGAGGCAATAAACTTCCTCTATGCCACCGGCTGGTGCAGTCTGTTTGTGCCATTTAGGGGTGCAGGAGACGGGGGACCCCCAACGCGCCGTCACAGCATGAATACTCTCTCTCTGCAATGGATTTTGCCTTCATGCAAATTTTGTGTTTGAGGTTCATTAAGGAAGTGTCAGTATTATGGAAAAACTTTTAGGACTATTGACATTATCTCAATTCTTTCTGGCCTCCCTTGCTCAATAGCTTAGGTAACTTTTATGCTTTGTGTTTACCCAGGTTCTCCTGAAGGAAAATGCACTTAAGAAATACAGCTAGTTCTTGTGTCCTTTTTTAATTCCAGATTGCTGTCTCAAAGAAAGGATGCCAAAGAAGATGCAGCTAAACTAAGAACCTATTGGAAAGTGAATCATGCAGCTTTCCGAAAGGAGCTGAAATGCAGCCCTCTGGCAGGGTCATGAACCTGAGACAAGTCTTTGTGTCTGTATTGATGTTTGGAGTAGCAGGTCTATTCCTCTTCATGTACCTGCAGGCTTGGATTGAAGAACATCATACAGGTAAAACCGCTTTCTTAATTGTATTGCCTCCATAGCTTAAAGCAGCACCTAAAAGCCAAAAAAAAAAAAAGATTTGGTGTGGGGACTATGGGTGCTTGCGGTGGGCAGTGGAATGTGACTATAACATGCTGATTGCTGTACCATAGTATCAAACAAGTACCAAGGAATGGGCCCCATGCTTGACAAATGTGATCTGAGGAAGTGGGTCTGGCCCACGAAAGCTCATCATCTAATAAACCATCTTGTTAGTCTTTAAAGGGCTACATTGTCCTGCATTTTGCGTAAACCCTACCGTCTTTTGCTGCCAAGTGTTCTGCATGAATTAACACAAATGCAGATAGTGTACCATTACAGCAAGAGCACCATTGTTATATTAACACGTCATGGTCTCCTTAAAATAAAGTTGTTTGTTTTCTCTCTCTCTCTCTCTCAATTTCATCTGAGTGTCACATTGTCTCTTGAAGAGATTTTAAGTCCATTTCCCTTCTCTCCTCTCAACCTTGCCCCCACCCCGTTTTAAAAACAATTCTTTTTATTCCAAATACCTATATCTCCTTTAAAGAATCTCCCTTCTGCTTGCTGTCTCCTATTATGGTCTGTCTTCAAAAAATATGGTCACTTAAATGTTACTACAGTAAAACTCCATTAGTCCGGCATCCAATGCTCCGGGACTCCTGATGGTCCGGCACCATCAGGAACCCAGAAGTGCTGGGGCAGCCAGACAGGCTTCCCCCATTCAGCTGCTGCTGAAACTGACCAGCAGCTGAATCGGGGAAGCCAGGAGCAGAGCAGCTGGGGTGCTGCCGGGTTGGTCTCATAGCGCTGCCCCTCGGGGCTGCGGGACCAACCCAGCAGCACCCCAGCTACTCTTGGGGACGCCAGGGGCAGAGCAGCTGGAGTGCTGCCGGGTTGGTCCCGCAGCGCCAAAGGACGGCGCTGCGGGACCAACCCGGCAGGACCCCAGCTGCTCTGCCCCACGGGTCCCCGATTCAGCCACTGCTGAAACAGATCAGCGGCTGATTTCAGGAAGCCTGGGGCCGAGGGGATTATTGGAAGTTTTCTTCATAATTACAAAGGA